ACGTTGACGTGACTATTATTTGGAGAGTATTTTGAGAAGTTTTTATTTTCTCTTTAGAAGTACTTGTTTTTAATCAAAATTGCTACTATTATAAGTATTTATTTTAATTTCTGTTATAAGAAATACTTTGTTGTTGGGTTCTAATCTAATTAGAAGTAGTTTTCAATGGCTAATATTTACTTAATGAATATTTTAATAATTCATAAATTACTATAATGAAAATAATTAAATAATTAAATTTACAAAAAAAATAAAATAAGTCAGAAAAATGTGTGGAGAGATTAATAAAAAATGTTAAATAATACTAAATAATTCACCTACAAGAGAAAAATGTTATCCTTCATTTATATATTTTGACCATTATTTATTATATTAAAAAAATAATAGTACCAACAAGCAACTTATTTATCAAAGTTTTTGCACTCTGGTGATACTGCTACATAGGGGCATGTGTTAAAAAAATAAAAAATAATTGGTAACAGAAAATATATACATGTAAAAAATCAATACAAAAAAATTAATAAGAGGTAATTGACACAGACCAAATTAACAAGAAAGTATGCATAACAAAAATATATACATGTAAAAAAAATAAATGCCAAAAAGAAAAGGAAAATTAATAAGAGGTAATTAACAACACAGACAATAAATTAACAAAAAAATCTCTAAATCATTATGAAAATACTCGAATGTAGCCCTAATATCCAAATTAAAAATAGTGTCTAAATCATTATAAGTGGTTCATTGGTCTACAGAGACTAGGAGCCCTCAAAGCCTCCGAAAGGGACTTTAATCGCCCACCAAACTGTTGGCACTAGTCCTCCATTTTGTCTCTATGGATCGTGACTTCTCCCAATTCGATCAGGTCATTGTGAGTAGCGAATTAGTTCAAACTATAAGATGGCCACATACTTTAAAAATTAATTCCCATGTGTTTTCTAGCACAAAACCTTGTAAAGTTAGGTGACTATATTTATGCTTGGTTGAAGGTAAGTAGATAAGTATTCAAACTCACGACTTTTTGATGACACGAAACTTTCGTCAAGTTTATAAAAAATATCACTAATATAGACATAATAATAATTTTTTTTACAACAGTTGGATGAGGATTCAAACTCACGACTTTTTAGTTGGAGATATATGTCGTCTTAACCCGTGAGCTATGTTTAGATTGTCACCATAATAATCAATTTTAAGTTAATTTAAAATGGTAAAATTTTGAATTATTTAATTGAATTAATTTTTTTATAATTTTCCTACATTTACCTTATGACATTCGACGTACATTGGATCAATATTACCACTAATATTTTCATAAATTTATGATTTTAAAATTTTCATCGACATCTACCTTTATAACCTTGAAATAGTATACACTCGTAGTGGTACGATTTCACACCTCTCACTTATTTAAAATATAATGTTCTCAATTATAAATGTTTTTGGAGGTCAATGAAGTGGTTGCATGGATAATGTTGAATAGGAGCTAAGATTGAGTCAGAGTGTTTAATCAAAACTCAAATCCATCAGAATGATTGGTCACAAACACACCATTATTTCTTGTCTGATTCATATATTTTTTCCTTTGTGTAATAAATTCAAAACTCAGAAATGTTATGGGCATACAAACAATATTCTATAATTTATAATATGATCAAAGGCTATAATTTTATTAATTCCCCATTTTAGTATTAATATACACTAAAATTGATATAATAAGTATTAAAAAATAGGAAGAATATTTAAAAATAAAATATATGGTTAGAAGTTTATGGATCAAGTTACAAACATGTTTGAATTGGGTTGGAATACAATGTAAAATTTTTGAAGTTCCATTGGTTTATAAGTTCTCTAGTATATAATTGTGTCTTTAAGGAACTATAATATTAATTAAAAACTGAAAATGATTCAAAGTAGTTAAAATCTGAATATTAAATAAAGCAATAATTAGAGGAGTCATTCAATTACTTGACCAATTAATAATGTAACATGATTGTTAATTAGAGGTGACTTTAGCCCATATTTTAGTTTAAATCTTTTCTTTTTGTTTTTGTTTTAGTACAACATCTGAGGTGGGGGATTGAACTTGCAACATCTTGGTTAGAGATATATGTTAATTACCGTTGAGTTATGCTCGTTTTAGTTTTTTTCTTTTTGTATTTTTTTAATATTTTGATTGGGTGCCTAAAATACAATAATTTCAATTACTATAAAGTCATTTTTAAATAATCATTTGTTAAATATATTTTGGAAAGAAAAAAAATTCAATTCGAATCTTTTAAAATATTTCCTTTTATCACCCAATATTTATTTTTAAAAACAATTTAAACTATTTATACTGAACTCTCCCTAAATTAATAATTATTTCAATAATACTGGTAGATAAATATTTTGCTTCAAAATTCATTTCAAACTCACTCTAATTTTTTTATTAT